CTTTAGTGCATGATAATCTTTTTTTTTTCCCAACCACACTGGTGGAAGCTCCTCAATATTTATTCTGGCGTGAATAAATTCTTTTCAATTCCTATTACAGCCCTGTCAGTTATGAACATTTCCTTGAAACTTCAATAAGCCTAAAGGATGTTTAGTAGGACTGGAGGGGGTTGGAGCAAAATTGGTGATCTTTCCCTTTATTCTTATTGCTTATGCACAGGTCCTTTTTCTTTTTTTGCCTTACACACACACACACACACACATTTAATTTTGAAATATTTATTTTCAAAGGAGAATGATAAAGACAGAATTAAAATAGTTAATAGGGAAGTAAAACCCAGCGGGGAATGGGGAATCAGGAAGTGAACACCTCACCACCCTCAACGAGATGTACAAATTTAGAGAGTCCACTCCAAATGTTCCAATGGACTATTTGCGCCAGACTTGTTGTAAAGCCTTCTAAGGTCATATTGGTCTGATCAGCCACAGTTGGACATGCTGCAACTTGACTCTAACATAGTGATGTCATTTTGGTCCTCTGCGAGAACAAAGGACCATAGCCAATCAACCCTCAAAGAATTCAGTTCAATAGCTTTTTATTTAAGGGAGCTTAATCAAGAGAATCTCTGGCGAAATTGATGAGTTCCCAATCAATCGGATGAGATTACAGGGTGTGGACCTTTGTTTAGAGGCACCTGTCCATAGAGTTCAGGTACAACTGCTGGCATCTTATTGAGAGGGTACAAGGAAGTAAAAATGACTTGCTAGGCCATTTTTTTTTTTGCCTCAGTTCTTACCTAGCCTTTAATCACTGAATGGGTGTTGCCTCAGACAAACTGAGACCTGGGAAAGACCTTAGCTTAAAAAGGCCAGGGTCTCCCATTGCATCCAGCGTCATCACTAATCATCCTGACCTATGTCTTATCACTGGACTCTGATGATTCTGGAGGAGAGAGGGAGGCCGATGACTTTGCACAGCCCTGCTATAATCCTTAAAAAATGAATGGAAAATTAAGCTCCCTTTCTCTTTTTCTCCTGAACTTTGGGATGACAGAGCAGAGCATTTCATAAGCAGGACTGGTTGTGTGTGTGTGTGTGTGTGTGTGTGTGTGTGTGTATGTAAGAGAAAACCGTGTCTATTCACAGTTTCCTCCCACCCCCAGGAGCAGTTAATGACAATGGGCAATTTATGGCAGGAGCTCATGGAGAGCTGCATGTGCTCTCCCAGGTGGCCTGAGAGGGGAGTTCCTGGACCTTAAGTTCCTGGCTGCTATTTCCTTTCCTGAGCACAAGCCAGAGACAGAAGACTTAATGATGAACTTGAGACACTGCCTGGGGGCAGCGACAGATTTCCTTCAGAAATATATGGCATGAGTATACAAATGGGTACCATCTCAGATCAAGGGAGGAGTCCTAACTTTGGGAATTCCCTTGTTAGTGACACCAAGTTTGAATTTTGGGGTCCCAAACTTCTAGAACCGGGGTTCTTAACCTTCTTTTGTGTCATAGACTCCTTTGGCAGTCAGTTTGGTGAATCCTAGGGACTCTTTCTCTGAATAATAGTTTTGAATTCTCTGAAACAAAATACACAGAATCACAAAGGAAACCAATTATGCTGAAATACAGCTATTGAAGTTTTTAAAAACCAAATTCCTGGACTTCAGATTGAGAACCCCTGTTCAAAAAGGTGAATATTTCCTCAATAACATGCTTCTTGGAGAAGGAAGAAAATCCACTGATGTATCCCTACAGTACAGTATTGAAGCCACATTTTGGGGTGGGGTGGCAGGGGGCAGGATTATAATACCATAGATTTAGAACTGAAAGAGATGCCATTGAGCCCAACCATTTCATTTTCAGATGGATAAACTGAGGCTCAGGGAGATTAAATGACTTGCTCAGGGTCATACAGCTAGTAAGTGTCAGAGATAGGATTGAAACTCAGGTCTTTCTGATTTCAAGTCCAGTACTCTATTCACTGTGCCACCTAGATGCCTCAGCCTGGTAACCTGTACCTTGCCACTTCCTTGCTTTTACTATGAGATACCTGGACCGTATAGGTACAATGAGAAGGGGTATTATTTATTTAGCACTCTCTAAAGCGTACTATGTTTACCTACGGGATGGGGTGGGGAGGGAAGTGGGTGGAGGGAAAAGGATTTTTCTATGAGCCTTCCAGAGATTGTGTAGGACTCTGGGTGAAACAAGGATTTACTCCATTAACAATCCCCAGTTCAGGTCTCTTCCCAGGGAGCTGATGGACTATTTGAGGACTTTATGTATTTTCTGAATCTGTTTATGGCCTTTGGTGAATCTCCCACCTTTTCTGTGAGATAAAATAAAAGTTTTCCTATCCTATATGCATTTAGTATCTCAAGAACTTGTACAGGATCTGGGGACACTGTTATCTATATTTGAGGAACCCTAAGTACCATGATTGTATTAGGATTTTCCTGAAGTAGCTCCAGGTAGGAAAAATGAATGGGAGAGAGAAATTGGCCTTTTGGGGTCAGTTCCTAGGACTGAACCTGGTAAGTGTTAGCCCAGAGTCTTGGGGTGGGGCCTGAGCTATGGATTATATTTTCAAAATACATTCCAGGCTACTGAAAAAATGGCAGATGCAATATTGCTGAGACAATCTTTGAAGAAATGTGGATGGGAAAGGTATAAACAGATGGGCAACTAGCAAACATATGCCGAGTTTTCAAAAAAAGGGAAGGGGGTAGGGATTGCAAACTATAGGCTCATGAAATTGACTTTAATCCCTAGGAAAATTCTAGAATATATCACTGAAGAGAGTTTGTGAGCATTTAGAAAATAAAGCAGTAATCACAAAACCCAGAATGGTTTCATAAAGTACAGATCACGGCCAAGCTGATCTCAGCTATTACTAAATTGCTGGGTCAGAGGAGTGCCGTAAATATGGATTTTAGCAAAGTATTTGACAAATTCTCTCATGCTCTGTTTGAGGACAAGGCATAATGATATGGGCTAGAAGATGCTCAAGTTAGGTTAATTGAACTGATTGAATAACTAGACCTAGAGAGTAGTGGATGAATAGACCAATGTCAACTCAGAAGAAGTCTTTAGTGGAATGTTCCAAGAGCCTATCCTTGTATTCTTTCCAACATTTTAAATCAATGATTTGGCTGAAGGCAAAGATAGCATTTTTTTTTATATTTGTGGATGACATAAAGCTGAGAGAAATACCTAGCCTATTCATGATTCAAAAAGTCTCTACAGGCTAGAATGTTGGGTCAAACCTAATACAATGAAATGTTACAGGGATAAATGTAAAGTCTTACCCTTGGGTTCAAAAAATCAACTGACTATCTAGTTAGACATAATTAGGCATGTGAGCTTAGTGAAAGTCAGCAGTATGACTTATCATTTTCAAAAAGCTATTGCAGTTGTAGGCTGGATTAAGAAAGACATTCTGTCCCTAACAAGGGAGTTGAGAGTCTTGTTGAACTATGCTCTGGTTAGGACATATCTTTGTTTTCAGTTTTGGAAGCCACATACTAGGAGAGACCTTGACAAGCTGGAGTATATCCAGAGGATGTTGGCTGGGATGGCAATGTGACTGGAGGAAGAAGCCTGGGAGGAATTAATCTGAGAAACTGGAGATCTTTAGTTTGGAAAAAAAAAAGACACGGGGAGGTCATGATAACTGTCCTGGCATCATGTGGAAGAGGGATTAAATTGTTCTGGTTGGCCCTGGAAAGCAGATATAGGAGCCATGCGTAGAAATTATTTAGAGACAGATTTTGGCCCTAGGGAAGGAACAAAAAAGATTTTGGGAACTGAGGGATTGAAGGATTTAGTGGCTGAGGGACTGAGGGATAGTTGGGGGCTCAGGCTGAGGGGACTGAGTGCCCTGAGGGATTGATGGGCCTGAGGGGTCTTCAGAAACTGAAGGGCCAGAGGAGCTGAGAGAGATATGAGGATTAGAGAACTGAGAGGATGGAAGGGACAAGTAGAACAACTGAGGAGGAGTCTAACAGAGTGGAAAAGACAGATGGGACTTTGAAGAGATCAGAGGCTGAGAGCTGGAAGGGATTTTAGAAGTCATTTAATAATAAAAGTCAATATTATTTTGCTTCTTAAGGTTTGGCAAAGCCTTATCTTTTTTGATCCTCACAACAATCCTGTGTAGCAGGTGCCAATGCCCCCATTTTACAGATCATCAGACCATGCCAGTGAGTGACTTGTTCAGGGTCATATGGCAAGCATGTGTTTAAGGCAGGATGTGAATCTAGGCCTTTTTGACTCCAAGCCTCCCATCTCCAATGGGACAAGCTGCCTCTGGTCAAGTACAATACCCTGATAGTTTTTATTTTATTTTTTAAATTAATTTCATTTATTTGTTTTTAGTTTTCAACATTCACTTCTATAAGATTTTGAGTTCTAAATTTTCTCCCCCTCCCTCCACTCCCCTTTCCCCAAGACAGCGTGCAACCCGACCAAACATATTTCCACATCAGTCACACAATACCCTGATTTTATAGATAAGGAGGGGTGGGGGGGGCAGAGAGGTGGTGACTTACCCAAGGCCACACGGACAGTATTGTGGATATGACTCCAGGTAGTCTGAACCCAATGCCTTTGCCTTTTCCACTGTATCGGGATTCCAACAGAAGGATTAAGAACCTGAGTGGCCAAGGCCCTAAGGTGAACTAAAGGCTGAAGGAGAACAGAGTCATTGGGGAGGGGGGGAATGAGAGGCCAAGGACAGACTGCACTACAGGACTGTGGGATGCAAGGGCAGAGTGAGGAGCCTGAGAGGCACAGGGGACAAAGGGGGCTGAGAAACTGAGGGTGCAAGGAGCCTGAGGGGACTTAAGGGGAGGACAGAGAGATGTTCAGTGAATTCAATGACCAACTTAGATTTTACAAGGGCACTAGATATTAATATCTCACTATTTTTAAAATTTTATTTTTTCCAATTACATGTAAAAACAATTTTTAACATTTGATTTTTTAAATCTTGAGTTCCAAATTCTCCTGGTCCCTCCTTTCCCCCCTCCTTGAGAAGGCAAGCAATTTGATACAGACTATATATCTGGCATGTATGATTACATCCAGTGATATCTACTTCAGGGGAGGCACCAAGTCCCCTCCTAGAAACAGAAATAAGGAAACACAGGTAGGTACCAGAGGATGAATACAAAAGCTTGGCACAGTTCTGGAACAAGAGAGTAAGTAAGGAGAACTGAAGCTCAGAATTAGCTGAGGCTGGCTCTGAAGGCTTAAGAGGGACAAAAAGAGCTTCTAAAGCTTTATTGTGAAAAAAGAGGTTAACACCAGAGAAAAAGCTGCCTCCAGTTCCTTTTCTTTCATTCCTGGCTTCCGACCTTATCATCAACTCTCGTGACCCTGGTTCCTTTGGTTCTCCCCCCTACCTCTGGGCACCTTTGCTCCATCTGCATCCATGGCATTTCCCCTAATTGTGGGTGTTCCCCTAAGACTTTGCCTGGACCTCTTCCCTTCCCTTCCCTTCTCTCTCTTATCAGCACACTGTGGGTTTGATTATCATCTACAGGCAGCTGACTTCCAGGTCTAGTCTAAACTGTGGACCCAGCCAGATCCTCTCCTGAGCTCCATCTGCTCTTCCTCAACTGCCCACTAGATACTTCCAACTCAATGTCCCAAAGTTAACTTTATCACAATTGATCAGAAATTGAACTTGTTATTTTTTTATTCTTACGTGTCTGTCTCCCTGATTTCCCTCCTTTTGCTACGGGTACCACCACCCTTTCCGACACTATGCAGGACTGTTTCTTCTCCTTTGCCCCACCAATCCAATAAATTCTGACTATTCGATAGGTTGACAAATCTTGTCTATTGTACACCCACAGCATCTTTTCACTTCACTCACGAGGCCCCTTGGCTAGATGAGGCCCTCCTGACAGGTCTCTGCCCCAAGTCTCCTCTTCCACTCCAGTCCATCCTCCGAATAGTTACCAAAGGGATCTTCCTAAAGCACAGGGCCACCCGTGACACTCTCCTACTCCTTAAAACTCCAGTGACTCCCAATTATCTTCAGGGTCTAAATACAAACTCCTCTGTGTGACATTTTAAAGACTTCCACAACCCGGCTCCAAGCTACCTTTGCAGTCTTATAATGTATTACTCCTCTCCTGGCATTCATTCTTCCACCCAGCCAGATTGGCCTTCTCTCGCTGCTTTAGCATTGGCCGGAATGCTTAGAATCCCGAGCTTCTGTCAAAGCTCAGCACCCACGAAGCCTTTCGAGGGATCTAAGCTCCCACTCAAATTACTTTGTATGTCTTTCTTTTCATACTTGTGTCTTCCATCAAATGCAAGCTTTTTGAGGGCAGAGGCTTCTTCATTTTTGTCTGGCTTCCCCAGAGCCCTCCCGCATATAGTAGACGCTTAATAAACGTTAAATGGAAAGAATGTGAGTATGAGGGGTTGAGGAGATGAAGGAGGGACTGCAGAATGAGGGACCTCGGGGGGCCATCTGGTGCAACCACCTTGTTTTACAGATGGGGAAACTGAGGCTCGGAGAGACGAAGCGACTGGCCCCGGGTCCCAGCGCGAGTCATCGGCGGAGGCGGGATCCGGGCCCGGAGCTCAGCCACGGGGAGCACGGCGGGAGCTGCGCACTGCGGCTGTTGCGCCCCGCGCGCCCCGCGCTTCGCTCCGCGCGCCCCTGCCCGTGCCAAGGCCTCTGGCTGCGCGCGGGGCCGCCGACCGGCCGCCGGGCGTCGGAGGCGGGACGCGCCGTCACTGAGCGCGGCGGCGGCGGCGGAGGAGGAGGAGGCGGCGGCGGGAAGATGGCGGAGTCCGGCGGCGGCGGCGGCGGAGGCGGGGGCGGAGGAGGCGCCGAGCCCGGCCCGGAGCGGCCCCGCAGGTGGGTGCGTGGTGGCGGCGGCGGCTTTGGCGGCTCGGGGCCTGGCCGCCCTTCGCTCCCCTCCTCTCCGGCGGCCCCGCGCCGGCTCCTCCCTAAGCGGGCGGCGGGGAAGATCCCCTCAGGCCCCGCGGGGACGCCCCCCAACGACGGCGCTGCCCCCTCCCCCGGAGAGGTTCAGGACCTGCCCCCCACTCCCCACCGGCTGGACCCTCCCAGCCCCCGCCCCCGGAGGCAGGATCCTCCCCTCTTCCCCTCTCCCCCCACAAGACAGAATCCTCCCCCCGCAGTCCCCACCTCCTTCCAGCCCTCCCCCAACCCAACTGCCAACCGGCAGGAGCCCCCCCGCCCCCCATGTTGAACAAGATCCTTTACTTTTCCGTACAGGACAAGACCCTCCAACCCCCGCCCCCCATACTCAGCTGCCAACAGGAATAACCTTACCACCTTTCCTTTACCACTACCTCCACCTTTTTCAACCACCAGCTGGCAGGACTGTCCTCTCCTCCCCTTTCTCTCCTGCAGGCTGTGCTGGACCCTTTTCTCCACATACCCCTCCCCGTGGGTCAAGACCTTTCCAGCCTTTCCCCTGCTCGCACCGCCCCCCACCTCCACCCCGACTGCCAACTGGCAGGACCCTCTCTCTTCTCTCTCTGGACAAGGGCTTTGGGAAGGGAGCATCCTTCTCTCCAGATCGTTCCCTCCCATCCCCCCCCATCTCTCTTCTCCCCTCCTCAGCCTATGGGCCAGGGCCTTCCCAACCCCAACGGAGGGTTCCTACTCTCCCCATAATTACTCCCCCACACCAGGACCCCTCCTCCACTCCCTCCAATGAAGTTGGACCCACCTTCTCTGTCCCCTGTCCTTTCCCCCTCTTGGGACCCAAGCCCTACTACCTCAGGTGAGACAGGACCCTCCCCTGTGTCTTCCACCTGAATCAGGTATGCTCCTCTTCCCATCCTTTAAGCTTCTGAGGGTGGACCTCAGGGGCCCAGAGAAGGCTGAGTAGGCCCTTTTCTTAAGGGGATTTGGGGATTCATGGAGAATCCTTTTCAAAGGGTGCCTGGACTATTTGTTTTCTGTCAGTACACACTTTTTTTTTTTTGGAGCCCTCCCAACCAACTTGCTGTGAGGAATGTAAACACTTGGCCCCTTTATTAGTTATTAAACACCTACTGTGTGCCTGAGTGCTATGTTGGGCTGGGGAATCTATGGGAACTTTGAATAAATTTACAAATTTGATAAAATAGGGTCCCTGCCCTCATGGAGCTCCTGCTGCAGCCAGGTGAGAAAACACTAAAACAGCTAACTGAAATCTGCTATATTATCTGATGAGGGTGTGTATGAGAGGACTGATAAGCCTCTACTGGATCTGGGGTGGGGGCAACCTGAATGATGGAAGGAAGGAAGGCTTCTCGGATCAGGGAGCATTTACTTTGGGTGGTTAAGGACAGTGCCTTAAACAGTTTATTAAACAAAACAAAACACCCAGCTAGGCCCATGATTTAATTGGTAAAGGTGCAAATTGACAGTTCTTGCTGTTTCTAGGCTCTGCGCCTGGGAGAGGTTAAGGCACTTCCTTGGCCAGGGCTGTGTGGCCAGTAGTGTTAGAAGCAAGATTTGAACCCGTATCTTCGTGACTCTCTGTGTTGCCATCCTGTCTATTGGTGCCTGGCAATAGTAAGCATTTAACTCATTGAATGAGGGGAAGAGCATTATATGGGGGAGGGGCTGATTGTCTTGGTCCGGCCTGTGTTGGGGTGGCAGATTCTATAGCTCTTGGTCGTTTGGAGCATTTGTTAAGTGAGGTTGATGGGCATTTTGGTCAGTTGCCACTTATTTGTTGATTACTGTGCTCCAAGCCAGCCCCTGCTCTCACATAGCCCCCATTTTAATTTAAATTCAATTAATTAATTTTAAGGGGAGATAACATGTAGATACCTATGTATATGGAAGATATCGATGGTACATGGGAGGATGCAGGGTAGTCCCTGAGGGAAGGTACTGGGGAGATGGGGAGGTAGGGAATAGGAAAGACAGTTAAAAGAAGGGATTTGAGCTTTGGGCTGAGTCTGGAGGAAAGCTAGTAGGCAGAGCATTCCAGGCTTGGGGGGAACTTCGCGTGCAAAGGCATGGAGTCCTCTTGTGAGAGGGGGCCACTGTCACCTAAGAATGCTGGAAAGGTAGGAAGGGGCCCCAAGGTGCAGGGCTTTAAATTCGAGAGGATTTATAGTGGTTCCTGGAGGCCATTGGGAGCCACAGGAGTTTATTGAGGCGGGGGGAATGTCAGGGGTGAGACCTGAGCTTTGGCAGTGGAACAGAGGGTGCACTGGAGTTGCTGCTGGTGGTGCCACAAACCACCAGTTTTCTACGGCAGTTTATAGTTTGCAAAGCACCTTCTTTATAGCAGTCCTGGATGCTCTGGTCCTTTTAAAGTTTTGATCTCTACCCTTCCGTGCCAGAGATGGCTTTTTGGATTTCTGGGGCCAAAAAAAAAATCGTCAGTAGAGTTTATAAAGAATCGTACTTCAGTTTTGGAATGGGCGAGGGAGAAAGGAGAGAAACAGGAAAAACTGGTCATTTTTTTTTTGCAAAAAATTAGAGATTGCGTAATTTTTACGTCATTGCTGCAAGATGTTTGGTGAAATAAATTTCCCCACGGTAGAAAGTAAAAGCAAAAAAGCCCTCATGACTTAGTGCCCAGCCAATTTTTTGGTGATGAGTGTCTCAGTTTAGCCGGGCTAGTCTTCAGATGACGTGTGTGTGTGTGTGTGTGTGTGTGTGTGTGTGAGAGAGAGAGAGAGAGAGAGAGAGAAGGGGTGGGGAGGGGGTAAGGGTGGTAGTGGGGTGATGGTGGTTAGAATCTAGGCCTTTGGAAGCTATTCAGTGCAGTGGAGAGAATGCTGGTTTGAGTGAAGGTGTGTTCATAATCCCTGCCTGTGTGGGTGACATCTCTTAACCTCTCCAGCCTCAGTTTCCTTATCTGTAAAATGAAGATGGGGTTGGTCTAGATGACCCTTTCTAAATCCACGATCCTGTGACTAAGGCAGTGCAGTCTCTGTGTCAGGAAGACTAGAGTTCAGATACTCGCTGTGTGACCTGGGCAAGTCACTTCACCTCTGTGCGCTTCAGTTTCCTCAGCCGTAAAATGGAGGTCATAATAGCCCATACCTCCCCGGGTAGTTGATAGGATCAAATATGGTAATATTTGTAAAGTGCTTAGCACAATGCCTGGCATACAGTAGGTGCTTAATAAATGCTTGTTTCCTTCTTTCTTTCCTGTTGTACCACACTGCTTTTTTTGAGGGGACTGCTTTAATTCTGTCAGCAACAACCACCATTTATTAACCACCTACTGTGTACAAAGCACTATTTTCTAAGGGCAAATGCATTCTCTAGCCCACTCCCCCAAAAGGTTATATAACTTGTTTGTCTTAACTTCCTTTTTTGTATGTGTGTGTGACCAGGGGGGGAAAAAAAGAAAAGAGCTCATTCTCCTTCTCATCTCTAGGGAGCAACAAAAGTCGGTTGCCTAGTAGAACAGTCGTTAATGGTTGAACCAAACCCTGCTGGAAACCTTGGGGAGAGTTTGAATGGAGCTGCTTGAGCTGGGGGTTTGCATAAGGGAGGTGGGGGCCCCAGTGAAGATTTCCAGTCCTCCCCCCCTCTACCCCGTGGGTCTTGGAGAATTCCACACAAAAGACACTTGTTCTCCAGTGAACCTCCCCCTCCTTGGACCGGGAGGTGTCGACTCTGTCCAATGCTCTTCCAAAGGAAAGAGGATGTTTGCTTCGAAGCCCAAGAAGGGGGTTTTTGGAGGGGAAGGAGAAATTCCCTGTGGAGTCAACACCTCCTGAGCTGAAATACCATCTGAGTGAGGTACCGCAGGCTGCCGAGTGTCAAGAGCTCCTCCGGGCCCTCCTAGTCATTAAAGGTCTTTCAGATGTTCTGCGGCAGTGGTGTCTGCATGGGGCCTGGTCAGACTGATTAGGGCTGTTCCTGGGTGGTGAGGAGAGTCCGGGGCAAGATAGATCCAGCAGGCCATGGAGATGTTCCCACGGAAAATGATCAGATGAAATGTCTGCCCAGGGATGGGCAGATGTTCCAAGGGGTGTTGGGGTCAATGATTGGACCTTTTTTAAAACACAAGGAGGGATTGTGTGGTGGGATGGAAAGAACACCAGCCTCTTAATACCTCTGTCTGAGGGATTCCCTCCATCTCTGTGGGCAAATAATTCCCCCTTTCTGAGACTCAGTTTCCTCATTTTTAAACCAGACCTCATGATGCTGGCTCTACCTACTTCTGGCTGGTTGACCTGTAGCTTGACAGCTTCGTAAAGAGTACAGCAGCATAGGAATGTGAGCTTTTAACAGGCCCTGTTGCCTACCCAGCCTTGGAAAATGTTGTTCCTTTATTTTGGGAGGCATCTGGTACAGTGGAAAGGGCCTGGTATTTGAAGTCAGAGAATCTGCGTTTGCATTCCAGTTCTGTCACTTGTTGTGTGACCTTGGACGAGTCACCGAGGGCCTGAGTTTTATTCTGTAAAAGGAAAGGCTTGGACCCGATGACCTCTGATAGTCTGGTCCAGCTCTATCTCTGAGCCTGTGAATCAGAACCAAGAGAACGTTCCTGATACCCTTCCCCCTCCTCAAGACTTCATGAACTCTTTGGCATGACAGTTCAGTTCAGGTATTTATTTAGCCCCGATGGTGTATAGAGCTGGGGGTAGAAAGATGAAATGATCTAGTGGGAGAGAAAACCATGCCTGCACAAATAATTTCAGGAGAAAAAACGTACAGGAGAGATCTCAACTTATTGTTACGACAGATTTGGGAGGGTGGGTGGGAGTGAAAGAGAAGGCTCCCTGGAGGAGGTGGCCCCTGTGCTAGGCCTTAATGGAGGGGATAATGTGATGCACTTTCAGTCAGAAATCGTTTATTAAGTGCCTACTGTGTGCCAGGTACTGTACTAAAGTTCTAGGGATACCAAGAAAGGCAAAAGA